GGTGCCCGGGCGCCTCGGTGCCCGGTCGCTCTATGTAGCCCTATAGCTTTGTAGCCGTACAGCCCGAATCGCCTTGCATTCCTATAGCCTGATAGCCCTATTGCCCTACAGCCCTTCAGCCCTATAGCCCAATGGCCCTATGGCCCTGTAGCCCCATAGCCTTTTAGCCCTATAGCCTTATGGCCCTGCAGCCCTTTCAGCCCTATAGCCCTATGGCCCTGTAGCCCTGCAGCCCCATGACCTTCTAGCTCTATAGCAATAGCCCCATGACCCTAAGCCGCAAAAAGATCATGATTGGGGTTTTGCTCCAGATCATTGAAAGAGCGCGGGCGATTCGCGTGGGAATGCATCTGCTTCAGCGAAGCTAATGCCGCAGATGGGGACGCCCCGTTGCAAGGGGGTCACGGACAGAATTTTGCAGGCGTGGCCCTGCGCCCCCGATTACCATCGCCGGGGGATAATATAGCGCGGGGTCTGGCGGGGATAATCGGCGATTTTCCTGGCGAGAGTGATTTTATGATGGCGAAGATGATGTCGATGACGAGGTTGATGATGATCGGGGGCGCCCGCGTTGACTGACCTTGTAGGTCTTGGCACAAGACTTATTCGATGGACTTCGAGGCTCGTGGCAACAAGTTTGCCTGCGCAGGAGAGGTCCCTGGCGCCCGCGCTCGCAGGCGCTGGCGGCCCTCGCCTCGGATCGCGCGCAAGGTGCGCTCGATCCAGCGACCCGTCCACAGGCCGCAGGGCCAGGTGTCGGCCTGGAACGTCTGGCTGCTCCTCGCAGGGCAGGTCTCGCCGGGGCCAACGGCGCCGAGCTTGCGGAGGATTTTCGCGGCGGCCTTGGGGGGCCACATGCGAACCTTACCCGCGGCTTCTGAGGAGGAGGGTCGGGTTCATTTCGTTCGGCATTTTCGCGTTTTTGATGCTTTTGCTAGTCGACATGACAATACCTTCGATGTGCAAGTCCCCCCGGGGATTATCATGTTCGGCCTCCGCGCCCTCTCTACAATTCAATCCGAGTGGCGCGGGATAAATGTGGGAGGGGACGAAGGTGGGGTAGGTTTTATCATCGGGGGCGGTCAGTTAGCTTTGCTCATCCACGCCCGCTGTGTCGGTCGACGAAGCTCTCGACTGCAAGGCCCTTTCGGGCAGAGTGCTACATTGGGGGGTGCACCTACATATGGATAGCCGTCTACGTTCCGCACTCCAGTTGCCCGCCCGACGATTTCATAGAGTGGTTGAGCGACATTATTCTTGTTGTTCTCGGAGTCCTGAGCCAAAACTACCGGCGCGCGTTGGGGCGATTTCACTGCCGAGGTTGGAAGTGGGAGGCGCGCAGTATTCTCATCTTTCGCTGCCGAGCTGGATCTTGCGATGTGCAACGTAATCGGGGATGAGCTTTAAGAGAGTCAGTGGATTTTCCGCAGCTGCCTCGGACAACTCCGCCGTCTGGACTACATCATGGTCAGCTGTTGCACATCGTTCCACAGCGCCGACATACATGATTTACGTCAGTTTAGACCGCAGGGCGGTGCATGCGCGCCTTCAAGCTCCGGCAATTGTTGGGCAGAGGAGTCATAAACAGCGCCGGCAGACGCACGACGTCATTGATTGGGAGATGCTCAGGAGGGAAAGAAACACACAGACACAATTAATCGTCGACCCCCCAGAACATATAGGAAAATGTGGGAAGTGGGGGGGGGGAGACAGAAACCCTGAAAATACAGGAAAGTATTTTTTTATTTAAAAAAAATGCGTGTATGTATTTGTGTGTCCTGGTGCCCCTTCACATGCATGCCACCCTCCGGCATCTCTCGGCGACGCGGGGCGCGTCGCCCCCCTTGCAGCTGGAGATTCGCCGCGGCCCCGGCTGCCCACCCAGCAGAGCAGGGGGGCCATTTGGACCGTCTTCGAAGAAGGGGGAGGTGCATGGCCAACCTGGCCGAAGTACGATATATTTTCAAAGGAGATCTCGAGGCCGAGCCGGGCAGAGTCGCGCGCGAGAGACAGCCAGAACATCCGAGGTTGTCGCTAGCGTCAGGGACCTTCGTCACTTGGGCGCGCCGCGCAGATTCCCGATCGCAAGATCGTCGCAACAGCGACTGGGCGCTCGCAAATTCGCCGAACTGCTGTCGGAGACGCGCGCGTCTAGCGCGCCGCTCGACGCGGGTGGGCCTGGCGAGAGCGACCAGATACTGCCATTGCTGTCGCAGAGGTGGCGAAGGCAGTCAAAGCGATGCGACGACGCAAAGATGCTGACAACTAGGGCGCGCGGCTGGAGATGTTCCTCTTTGGCGGAGACGATATGTTGTCTTATTTGTCTGCCACGTCCAAGGCAAGTTTGCAGGATGGTTGCGTTTCGGCGGACTGGCGGGGGCCCCTCTTTAAATTGTCGCACGGTGGCGGAGGCGCAGCGCGCCCGAACCAGTGGAGACCGATCGCGATTCTCAGCGTTTCATGCAAGATGCTTGCTCGCGCGGCCTCCCGCGGGGTACGCGGCGCCCTAGATTCGCAGCGGCCCGCAGAGCAGCTTGGTTTTCAAAGGGGCCGGTCGACCGCTGACGCTCAGATTGTTGCCGAAAGCCTCGCGAACAAGAGCCTCGTGTTCAACGGGGCTCTTGTTCGCGCAAAGCATTTGGCAGAGTTGAGCAGACGGCGCTGTTCCGCGCTGTCCAAGCGCAGGGGTTCCCCTCTGGATATTGCCAATTATTGCGATGTCTCTGGTGGTGATTTTCAGTTTCCGATCGCTCGGGGCGTCAGACATGGTGACGCACTGTCACCGCTCTTGTTCAACAGTGTCTTGGAAGTTGCTATCCAGGAGTGGAAGGTGAAGCTGAACGGCCATAGTTCGGCTGCATGTTTGGGCGGAAGCACGGAGCGTCTGTCGAACATCTCGTATTGCAGACGACTTGTTACTGTTCGCCAGCAGCATGGAAGGGGCTGTGGACATGCTAGACATGCTCACGCAGACGCCGCGCAGTTATGTTCTGGAGCTCAATGCGAAGAAAAACAAGATGCCGTCGACGACAATCACGGATAATGACGCTGTTCCGATCGAGGCTGCCGATGGGTTTGTGGAGCTCGCGGCTGCTCACAGAAAACAAGCCGGGGATGGCGTGGCGGGGCAACATCCGGCAACGTGGACAGGTTGTTATCGACCATCGCGTCTGTTATGCATCGTTGGATATCCGTTCTCTGCTAACTTCGCTGACGCATAGGCACGTCAACATCAAGCTGCTTTTGAAGTTCTTCAACGCGACCGTCGCATCTACGTTGATATACGGGCTGGACACTTGTGCGTTGGACCAGAAGCAGCTGGACCATCTAGACATTACACAGAGGAAAATGCTCTGGCGGATCGTCGGCTGGGTGTTCGAGGGTATAAATTCGTAGGAAAATGGTGGCCGCAGAAAGAAGCAGAAGCTCGAATTTACCAGGCGCCTGCACTGCATTGCAGATTCGTCATCGGCCGTATCGCGGCGTCGGTGGTTTGACGACGTGTAGATGGTGCATGTTGTTTCATCATCATCCCGATTTTTGCACACGGCCGACTTGTTCGACAGGGCGCATCGTAACGGAATGCCCCAAACGTATGAGGGTTTTGCCAAAACGGTCGTGACGCCCGCAGGCGAACGGTGCTCCTTGGGCCTGCGGTGAAAATGTGTGAGGGGTGTGCCGAAGGCGCGACGCTCACATGCAACCGGTGTCCCGTGGGCCTTCGGTGGAGCTCCGTAAAAGGGCCGTAGGGGTGTGAGGACTGTGCCGACATCGACGTGCGGAGGGCCGAGGCAGAGATGGGAGCAGAGGGGGAAGAGGAGGAGACGCGGGGCACTGTGCCTCCAAAGTTGGGGCACGGCACCACAGGATGGCTTGGGCGTGGTGCGCCCCCGAGAGATGGTAACCTTCTTTGGGGGTGCATGGCCTCTGGGGGCCGCCGCGTGTGCGAGCCAGCCTGCCGTCGCCCGCGTCTCTCGCCCGCCGGCGGGGAGGCTGTCGTCCACAGGTCCCCGGCGCCTCGGGCAGGAGGTGGAAATGGCCCGCGAGGAGGGGTAGGAGGATGAGGAGGAACAGGAGGAGGAAGAGGAGGAAGAGGAGTCAGGAAGACAAGGAGGCAGAAGGAGGAGGTGGCAGGAGGAGGAGGAGGAGGAGGAGGAGGCAGGAGGAGGAGGAGGAGGAGGAGGAGGAAGAGGAGGAGGAGGACGTGGCCCGCGTGTCCCCGTGCCTGGCCCGCAGGGGCCGGTTTCGGCCTTCGGTCGAAGAAAAACAAAAAAACACCATCGACATAATTGTGTGGCGCTCCGCGCGGATCTCTTGGATCCGTGCTGGGTACCCCCGGCGACGCCTCGCGCCCGCGCTGCGCGCGCCAGGAATGGGAGTCCAGCGCAGATCCAAGAAATCCGCGCGCAGCGCCAAAAGTTTTATGTTTGTGGCTGTCCTGTTCTTCCTCCATCCGGGAGCATACAAGCAATAAGTAGCCGGGATCCAATCTGCACCGGGGAGGGGGTCGAGAGGTCTCTGGGCCCACGCGGTGAAGGCACCAGAGCCTGGGAGGTCTGGGCCGTCGTTGTGGTCGTGGTGGTCGTGGTCGTCGTATCCTGGGAGACGGAGGCGGGGAGGAGGATGGGGGAGGTGGGAAGGAGGGCGACAGATCGGAGGTGGATCGACCTCCTACCCTGACACGTCGATTAAGGAATTGGCCGTTTTCGGTTCGCGAGAGGGCGTCGCGGCCGTCATTTTTGCGGGTCCAGGTCCGTCGGTTTCGGTCCCAGGCCGTTTTCATTAAGGGGAGGTTTACTAAAGGGGGGTTTGTCCACCGCCGAACAGAGGAAGAGGACCGAAGAGTGGTGGAAGAGTGGCTCAGCGTTGTGTGGTTTCAGCGCTATGTGATTTCTTTGTTTCCCTTGATGTGGCGTTGTCCGTCCACGGGCTCCGTCTGAGTCGTGGGATGATGGCGCTCCTAAATGGTGGTAGGTTGTGGCGCATTGCGATGGCGAGAGGTTGAAGACTTGGGCACCCGCTTCAACAAGTTCTTCTTCCGCAAGCAAAGGGTGAACGACGGATCATGGTGGCCTCCCCGCCGCTCCCACTCGCTAGCACCAGTCGATCTCTGACGCATGGGTCTCATCCCACACTTCCGCGTCCTCCGCCATTCCGCCCTCTTGCCTCCCCCTTTTCTCATGCGCCAGTCCGCCCCATAATTACCACGAACTTGTTCTTTATGATCCTCTGGCGATAGAGAGGGTGCTACCTGGGCTGCAGCGGAGTTTGGGGGTTGGTAGCGTTACGATTTGCGCCAGCGCCGTCTGGGTTTAATCAGCAGACCGCAGCAATTCCCAGAAGGCAACAGCGCGAATCGTGGCGTTACCACAGGCGGTGATGGGGGATCGGCCCCAGTAACGGGCTTCATGGTGAATCGTTTCGTCACGAATCCCATCAATGCCTTCCCCGCCCTTTCCCTGCCGCCGCCTCCTCCGCTTCCTCCTCCTCCTCCGCTTCCTCCTCCTCCTCCTCCTCCTCCTCCTCCTTCTCCTCCTGCCCCCCCCTTCTCCTCCTCCTCCTCCCCCTCCTTCAGCCTCCATTTGTCGCCGTCCTCCTTCTGCTCAGCTCTTCTCCCCCTTCCCCTTCCTCCCCCTCCCGCACCACCCCCGTCCTCATTCTCCTTTCAGTTGCCCGCCTGCTGCGTCCCTTGCCCTGGAGTCGTTCGCCCCCCCGCCTCGAGGGGGTCGAGGCCCGTGCCGGCCACAGCGTGCCTCGGGCCACGAGCGGTCCGGGCCTTGACGACCAACCAGTCCCGACCTTACAGTCGGGGCCCTGAAGAAGGAACCCTATTCGTTGGGGAAGGGCTCTGTGTTCCTTAATTGTTTCGCAGCTTGCCTTGGATTTTCCTTTGGTTTTCGATACGAAATCGAAGTTCAACTTATGGAAAATAGAGGCCTCGTTCCTTATTTAGGGGCCCTTAGGTCAACGCCTCGACTGTATGACTTGTTTTGCCCCTCTGCCCATCCAGTTTCTGACCTCAGAGGCCTCCCAGGTGGGACTTCAGCAGATGGGGTCGGAGGATCCCGCCGCATCGCATCACCGATGCGTCGGCGACGTCGGCGTGGAGAACATCGAGCTCCACGTCGAGCCCCATCGCCAATGCACCGGCGATGCGTCAGCGATGCGGCGCGATCCTCCGACTCCATCTGCTCGGATCCATCTTGGAAGCCTAGACACCCGCCGCCGCTCCACCTCCACCTTTGCATACCTTCCGACCTCCGCGGAAGGTGCTGAAGGATTCATCGAAGTTCATGGATACTCGGTTCAATGAAGCCCACATCGATCATGTCGAAAAAAGGGCGGAGGTGTTCGGGCTGAAGGTCCAGAATGATGAGGGGGAGGGTACTCAACTCAATCCTGGACCTCCAGGGTGGTGTTGCCATATCCGCGGGCATCAGAAATGTCTCGACCTCTTCCCCCAGTGCAGTGTTTCTCCCCCGACCCGTGCTGGGAGGTTCACGGGCCCCAGAATGAAACGGCACCCGCCTGCCGAGGTTGAGAAACAGAGCGCCAGGAACGAGAGGACCAATCGAATCCCTTGGATGTCTGGGATCCCTGGACAAGAATCCCGGGGCAATTCTGCCATGCATTACTGAGGGGGCCGTCTACAGGAAGGGGGGGGCACCCCAAAACGCTAACAGCCAGGCCGGGGGGCGCAACTAAAACGTAATATTCAAAATTACGTTTTTGTCCCAAGGCATGGTTTGGAAAATCCAAAATTATGGTTTGTTGTTGTTTTTGCCCTGAAGTGCTGTGTGTGCTTGAATTCAGAAATCGTGATTTTATGGTGAAAAGGCTTCGCCTCTTTCGCCGTTGTGGAAGTGTTGTTGCGCGATGAGCGCCACGTGGGAGTTGCGTGTGTAGTTTCATTTGCGGTTGATCGCGTAGTTGGTTTTGTTATTGTTCGTATCCATCACGGTCCACCCAGCAATAGTACCCAGGCGAAATGTTTTGATCTGGGAAGTGCGGGAGGATTCCGTGCAACGAAGAGAAATTCATGGGGAAGCTGTCAAAGTGAATTTCGTGGGTCAGCCTGGGCACGCCCGGGAGTCAATGTACATTCGCGGCCCTTGCCGAAACAGGCAGGGCGCAGAATAATGATGAGGAGGCGGGGGAGGAGGAGGTGGGGGAAGAACACGAGGAGGACGAGGACTAAAAGGAAGAAGGGAGGAGCGACGGGGGCGGCAGGAGGGGGGCGAGCAGAAGCATGATGACATTGACTGCGCAAGCTTTGGGGGGAGGAAGAGGAGGAGGAGGGGGAGGAGGAGAAGGAGGAGGAGGAGGAGGAGAAGAAGGAGGAGGAGGAGGAGGATTGGGCGAGAAAGAGGAGGAGGAGGAGGAGGAGGAGGAGGAGGAGGAGGAGGAGGAGGAGGAGGAGCGTACAACGCGCCCACGCGCGCGCGCGAGAGGTGTGAATTCTGCATTGTCCTCAGCGGTCTGGCAACGAAGGGGCCTGGAAACGAAGGGGTTCTTGGGCGGTGACCGAATGGATGTTCCAGGTAGCGCGGGGCTGCAGCACGCCAGCCAAGTGGCTCATCGCACAGCGCGCCCACGCGCGCGCGCGCCGGCGCGAGCTGTGAATTTTGCGCCATCCACAATAGAAGGGCCGCAATGCTGGCATGGAAGCTCAAGTGGCCCCCTAGCGGAGACCGATTGGATTTCCGATTTACCATGGGTTTGTAGCGCGTCGGCGAAGTGGCTCAGCGTGCAACGCGCCCACGCGCGCGCGCGCGGGCGCGAGCTGTGCATTCTGTGTTATCCACAGAAGAAGGGCAGTCGTGCTGTCCTGGGAACTAAAGTGGCCCCTCAGCGGTGACCGATTGGGGACGTAGCATGTCGGCCAAGTGGTTCAGCGCACAAGTCGCCCGCGCGCGCGGGAGCGAGCCGCCGCTCTGCACTATCCAGAACAGAAGGGCCGCCATGGTGGCTTGGGAGTTCAAGCAGCCCCTTAGTGGTGACCGATTTCTTTTTCCAATTTAACATGGGCTTCTAGCATGTCGGCCAAGTGTCTCAGCGCACAGCGCGCCCACGCGCGCGCGAGCTGTGAGTTCTACCCGCAATAGCAGGGCCGCCATGCTGGCCTGGGAAATCAAGCGGCCCATTAGCGGTGACCGATTGAATATCCGAGTTAGCTCGAGTTTGTAGCATTTTGGTTAAGCGGTTCAGCGTACAACAGGCCCACGCGCGCGCGCCCGCTTGCACTCGCGCGCGCGCGAGCTGTGAATTCTGTATCACCAACAATAGAATGGCCGCCATGTTTGCTTAGAAACTTAAGTGGATCTCCAAGTTAGCAAAAGGTCGTAGCATGCCGATTAAGTTGCGCAGCGCACAGAGCGCCCACGCCTGTGCGCGCAGGCGCGAGCTGTGAACCCTGCGTTCTCCGCAATACAAATGCCGCTACGTTGGCTTGTGAACTCAAGTGGCCCCTTAGCGGTGGCCGATGGTACGTTCCATGTTTTACATGGGTTTGTAGCATGTCGGCCAAGTTGCCCAGCGTACAAGGCGCCTCGCGCGCGCGCCCGCGCGCGAGTTGTGAATTTTCGTATCACCCGCAGTAGCAGGGCCGCCATGTTGGCCTGCAAACTCAAGTGGCCCCTTTGCGGTGGCTTCCAGCATGTCAGCCAAGTGGCGCAGCGCACGACGCGCCCACGCGCGCGCGGGCGCGAGTTGAGAACCCTGGTCCAAAGTAGAAGGGCCGCCGCGTTGGCTTGGAAACCCGGATTGATTTCCAGGTTAGCATTGGTTTGTGGCACGTTGGCCAAGTGGTTCAGCGCTCAACGCGCCCACCCGCGCGCGCGCGAGTTGTGACTTCTGGATCGCTGGATTACCCATAATAGAAGGGCCGCCACGATTGCTTGAAAACTGAAGTGCAACCCTATCGTTGGCCGATTCGATTTTCGAGTAACCATGAGTTTGCAGCGTGCCGATGAAGCCGTGAATTCTTTATTGCACGCAGTCGAGTGGCCGTTATGTTGGCCTGGAGGCCATAGTGGCCTTTTAGCGGTGGCCGATTGGTTTTCCCAGCTTACCTAGGGTTGCCGCACGTCGGCCAAGTTGCTCAGCGTGCAACGCACCCGCGCGCACGCGCGGGCGCGAGTTGTGACCTCTGTATCGCTCACAACAGAAGGGCCGCCGTATTGGCTTGGAAACTCAATTGGCCCTCTAGCGATGGCCGGCTGGATTTTCAATACCACGTGGGTCTGTAGCATGCCGCGCAAGTGGTTCAGCGTAAAGGGCGCCCACGCGCGCGCGCGCGAGCAGTGACGCACGAACTATCCACACCAGAAGGGCCGCTATGTTTGCTTGGAAACTAAAGTTGCCCGCTGCGGTGAAAGATTGGATCTCCTAGTTAACATGTGGTTGTGCCATGTTGGCCAAGTGGCTCAGCGTACAACGCGCCCGCGCGCGAGGGCGCGAGCTGTGAACTCTGTATCATCCACGACAGAGGACCGCCGTGCTGGCTTGGCAATTCAAGCGGCACCGTGGCGATGTCCGAATGGATTTCCAAGTTCACCTGGGTCTGTAGCATGCGGGCCAAGTGGCTCAGCGCACAACGCGCGCGCACGCGCGCGCGGGCTGTGCATCCTGCATTACCCAAGATAGAAGGGCCGCTGTCTCCTGGAAACTCATGTGGCCCCTGAGCGGTGACCGATTGGAACTCCGAGTTCACATGGGCTTGTAACATGTGGCTTAACGTACAACGCGCTCACGCGCGCGCGCCCCCCCCCCCCCCCGGCGCGTGCGAGCTCTGAAATCCGTACTGCCCGCAATATCGGGTCCGTTATGTTGGCATGGAAACTCAAGTGGCCCCTCCGCAGTAATCGATTGAATATCCGAGTTAACATGGGGTATGTCGCGTATCGGCCAGGTGGCGGCTCAGCGTACACGTCGCCCACGCGCGCGTTAGCTGTGAACTCTGTAGTATCCACCGTACAACGGCCACCATGTTGGCATGGAAAAACGAATTGGCCAATTAACGATGACCGGTTGCATTCCGAGTTAACATGGGTTTGTAGCATGTCGGTC